ATCTACGACTTTTAACAATTTTACCACAAACGATTTTTTCTATCCACTTACAAAATCACCAGTTGCCCCTGTAGAACCGATCGATTCCATCCACATCATCACATACATGCCGCAATCATATCTGTTACAAAATTTGAAAACCACACATGTCAATTATGATGGATACTGCATAAATTAAGCTTTCTATTTGTGATAACATCTCATACCCATTCAATTGCTTATTCTTCTTATGCTCCACAAATTTGAAATTTTTCAAGGGATACTTTCCTAGAGATCCACAGGACTCAACCCAAATGCGTTTCTTATTATAAGAATATAATATTTTAATCTGCATTAAAATAGAAGAAGTTATGCACCAAAAAAATTATGCATTATAATTTACATAATGTCCTTTCATACATACATACATACCAATCTCTTAGCATCCTTCACTCTCTGTTTAGCTGCTTCAGTTGTAAACATACTATCATATATTGTTACAACACGATCTACCATATCCAACACCAACAGATACCAATGTGAATTATGGTAGTTATTGTGATCATGATCTGCAACAAATTTCACACCCAATTTGACAAAATTCAACATTCTATATCCGAAAACATCATTTGCAATTGGTATGGTGTCTTACCTTCTCACAGTCGGTGAATTTCACATAGTTATCCAATATGACACCCCAGAAGGTAGAAATACCCTCAACACTTTCTTTGTTGTTGGCATCCAATGCCTGTTGCTGTAATTACGCAACAAACATTATTAATTTACCGTCTATAACACTACTTTTCAATATTTATTAATTTAACTCACCACTAAGAGGTATGGAAGGTAGCCAATCCTCCGGAGTGACTTTTGAGAATCGTAGCATATGGTCCAGGCGAGCAAATCGATAACCTAACAAAATTAATTACACAATCAGAACATATTCAATAAGTTTTAACATTTTCTACTTTCTACTTACCACACCGCCAACCCATTCCGTAGGCTTCAACGTTGCAACGTCGTATACAGTAGCGAATTGATTTCCCATTGAGATTACAGAATATCTATATGAATCATTAGGATTAATATGTTGTCATGAAATATTTAAATATCACTCACAAAACAATATATTTCACTTACCCCAATTCTAACTCGCTATTCCATAAATAATCACAAATTGCAGCTTCGATGTCATCAATTCCGCTTGGAATATCCGCTTTTTCAACCTACAATTTTGCATACAAATTTTTTTCACACCAACATAATAAAAATCAAATTAAGTATTCTTTTATTAAACTTACCTTCTGCTTCTTCTTCTGGGGTGCAGGACATTCCGAATCCAAAACTGCTGCTATAACACTCTCCGGTGTATAAATGACATCGACTTCCTTCCTCCTCATTTCTTCCATCTCTTCTTCTTCCTCCTCCCTCTTTTCTTCTTCATATTTTTTCAGTTCATCGTACTTTTTTTCTACATAGCTCTTCATCTCTTTTATTTCACCCTTCAATTGAGCTCATTCATCCGAGTATTTATCAACCACCCCCTTCACCCCCGTAAGTTCACTCCTCAAATCCACAACCTCCTTCACCACTCCCTCAAATTTTTCTCCCGTCACCATCTTAATATCACCCCTTAACACCCCAACTTCTTTCACCACTTCAACCCTCAACACCTCTACTTCTTTCACCACTCCATCTATTTTCCCTTCCACTACCCCCTTATGCCTCTCAAGTGTATCTTCGACTCTCTCGAGTTTCTCTACGACTCGATCAAGTTTCTCTTCGACTCTTGATTGTCTTTGCATGATTTCAAATTGGATTTTTTTGATATCAGCCAATTCAGACATCAAAATGTCGAAGTTACTATGTTTTCCCTCACCGTCGTCCCACTCACCGTCATCCCCCAATACAACCATCCCTCCTTTCTTCTCCTCTGCCTCCACTGCCTCCTCTACATCCTTGCCAATAACCTTCAAAATTAAATTACAATATTAAGACATTGATTATATTCTTAATATTATTTAATTACATTTATTACCATTTCTTGCTTCTTCCCTCTATCCAACTTCAACTTCACCATCACTCTAACCACCTCTTCCTTCCCCCATGCACGGATGCGTGCCACTCCGGTTCTTTCATAAGCCGGCACTGCCTCACAGCCCGACCAAAAATCGAACAGTGCAACCTGCATTTATAATAAAATTTATATTTTTATATAAAAACACAAAAAAATGATTCAACTCATTTACCTATAAGATTGCTATGCACCCTTTGAGGTATCTCTGGCTGCCCTTTTTAAAGGTGATTATTGATTCAATCAATCTCGAATGGATATATTCAGCCCAATTGAATTCACCCTTCAAGCCTTCATCGCAAATGAGCTTCATATATTCCTTGTTCGTTGACGTATCACCCGTTGGACAAAGAAATATCCCGACAAGGTACAATAGAACTCGGGCCTTCAGCTCATCCCCCCAGTAAGATCCACTTTTGATATCCTCTTCAACTTCAGCATATGTCACCTTATGATTCAAACCATATTTGGAGGCAAGTGCTTTCCAGTTCTTACTCCTACAGACTTCTATAACACTTTTGCCTTTGTTTTGTACCCCCAAGACGGCTGCAGCAGTCGATACCCCCAGAGGGAATGAATAATCACCATACTTAGCCATACATTGACTGACGTCAAATTGTGCCATCAAGGATCGACACAATTCCCTCCGAATAGGTAGATCCCTTACTCCGATCAACGATCCAAAACCTATTTCTCCCAGCACATTCAACTGACCCTTCTCCTTAAGGTGTTTAATTAATAAATTCACCCTTTTAATGCTGCATCTTGTCGACACTTCCTACATTTTTTAACAATATATAATGTTATAGTTCTTATATATTTTGTATCAACGTATTTACAAGTTTAATGAATACCTTATTTTCATGTGCTTTCCTCCGTTCTTTTGTATTCTTTACTATCATTCCTTGACTGTGTGATGTAAGGTTCATTTTCAGCATCACTCATTGAATTCCATTTGGACCTCACATCTTTTTTCACCTAATATTAAACATAAACGTTTCTTAATCAATACATTAACACTAAATACTAATACTACTCAATGTCAATTTCATTTTACATACCGAACCGCTCTGTGTGCCATCTCCCTTCATCCTTTTGCATTCGGCCATACTGTTAACATTTAAAATTTGTAATCAATTTAAAGTTTATCGATACTTTAATCCAATTACCATTTCAACAATAATAACAAAAGGACATTGATACTTACTAGAAGTACATATATCCACCCTTTGGTTGCTTTCGAGTCTCGGCCTCAATTTCAAAGTCATCTGCTCCACCAACAATTTTCCAACCCATTGACTCCATTTTTCCTTCATATATCAGTTTACGCAAATCAAATTATTTTGTTACATACACTTTATTCAATATACAAATATAGATAACTACTCTTGTGGTAAAACGGTTTTCTTCAAAAGAATTTGAATGGCCACACCAAAATGTGTCGGCACATTTATACAACCTATAATATTTAATAAAAAGTATCGACATTTATATTTTTCCTTGAATATCTATTTCTACCTGCAATCGGTCCCAAATGCTTCCTTACTCCAAAACCCCAAACAACACATAAAAACCCTATCGCGATTACTGTAATAATAAAAAATTAGGGTTTCGACAACATACTTTTCGATTCGACTGCAGCAACAAACAAACAAACTTCGCTTTAGAAACGCCTTCTGAAATGCAGCAACAATTACGCTTCGATTTCAAAAACTCGTCCGTTCTATCTTTTTTCAGAGGATATTTAGCTATGGCCTTTATATTTTCATCGGATATGTTATTTATATTTAATCGATACAAATACAAAAGTGTCGATACTTTTATGTCAGGTGTCGATACTTTCGAAAGGATAATTACCTATTTCTTTGAAAGTGTCGATAATTTATTACACGTACTTACGAAAGTATCGACAATTTCAATATATCCGGTATCATTTTATCGGTTTTATCATATTTTTACCTGTTATATCGTTGTGGATCGATATATTTTTTTAAAGTATCGACACATTATAGGCGCTATAACTGCTTCTCTTTTAAATTCACAAAGTGTCGATCCTTATATAAAGTATCGACACTTTTAATATATCCGGTAACGTTTTACCGGTTTTATCATTTTGTTACCGGTTTTATCATATTTTTACCTGGTATATCGTTTTGGATCGATACATTTTTTAAAAGTATCGACACTTTATAGGATTTAAAACTGCTTCTCTTTTAAATTCACGAAGTGTCGATCCTTATATTAAAGTACCGACACTTTAAATGTATCCGGTAGCGCTTGACCGGTTTTATCATTTCTATACCGGTTTTGTCATAGTTTTACCTGTTATATCGTTTTGGATCGACACATTTTTAATTTGGATCGACACGAACCGGTAGCACAATTTTTTAATATTTCTTCATGACTTAGACCTACTTTTATAAGTATGGACACTTTTATAAAAATGATATACTTCTTTGAAAGTTATGTAATTTATGTTTCAATTTATTTAATAGTGTTTCATGTTTTCCACCTACAATATTAATTTAATAATTTCATTTACATAAAAAATTATTTGATTGTTTTGATATTTTATAAAATATTATTTATATTTTAAATTTAACAATATTAACTAAAGATAATAATAAATATATTTTCACAGTGAAATAAGTATGGACACTTTTATAAAAAGGATAGATAATTTACAATATAACAGATAAAAATATGACAAAACCAGATTCATTATGACAAAACCGGTAAAATTTACTTAATATGTTAAAAGTATGGACACTTTTATAAAAAGGATAGATACTTACCGATAACCAAAGTTTACCGGTTACCAAATTTTTTAATAGTTTTTCATATTTTCTACCTAAAACATTATTAGTTGTCAACATAATAGGTACCGCTAAACCGAATTTATTAAATACATTTTAATATATCCGGTAATGCTGTATATTAGCCGTATATTAACCCGCCTTTCCTGAGACATTCCCACTTGCAGAGCTGAAGCATTGGCGTCAGGTGTTAGGCAGACGAGGGACTACAACAGGAGCACCGCGAACCTTTTCAAGAGCAAAACTTATCCTTAATGGTCCACCTAACAATGCCTGCACCAAAACAAATATCCAATAAATCATCCATCTCCCATGAGAGCATACCTTAAACTGTACAGTTTGCATACCTTTCCATCCATTGCATCTTTCGCAGACATGGCTTCATCTGCATTAGAAAAATGAACAAACCCAAAACCTCTTGACCTACCACTGTCTTTATCATACATTATCCTCACTAGAAAAAAAGAAACATCAAAAGGATGAGATAGCAATCACTTGTTCAAGCCACTCGGCAGAGCAAGCTTCGAATGGTACTATTGTCTCCTCAAATGGCGTGGAGTAGAAAATAAGTTATCTTTTAAAATGGAATCGGTAATAACCATTAACAACGCATTAAGCGAATCAACAAGAATGTTTGGTAAATACAGTGTCCAAAGACGGGGGTAATGACACTTATTGATCGAATAATCCTGCGAATTCAAACAACGCAAATGAAAGTAGACGTATTAGATAATGATCTAAGAAAATTTCAGTCATTTCATCAGCATAAACGAAACACATTGACTCTCGGCACTGTGATCGTTGAGACATTTTATCGAACACCTAAAAGACTGGGCTAACCTTCAGAAACGTGTCCAAACAAAGAGAAGGCGTCTTTCAAGGATTTCTCATCAACCAACCATGATAATCCTTCAAAACGAAACATCCAATCAGAAAGAGGAACAGAAAGAGAGTCAGAAAGAGGGAAAATACGGGACCTGCAACAAAGAGTTTGGAGTTGGGAGTGGAAGTTGAAGGCGGTGAGTGTGAGCAATAGGATCGCAAGGATGAAGGTGAAACAGGGTTACTGGTTGTTGCTAAATTTCTTCTCACGATGAACCTGATAAGACTCCTCATTTCTCCACCAAACCACCACACCTCCTGCTCGTGTTTAGGGAGGGAAAGAAAATCGTGAAATAATATATAAAATATATTGATTCTAAACAAACTCCAATCAGTCACTCAGAAACTCTATGCGGCAGTTACTAAAACTATTGGACATTTTTCAAAAAAAAAATTTGACAGCGGTGGTGGTTTCTCCGACCATCGTCTTGTCAATTTTAGTTATATTTTCTCGTATTTACTGTAATAATACTCTTAATTTTTTCTCTAGTAAAAAATATCATGACTATCGGTGTTTTTAGACTATTAAAACAAGTTTTTTATTTGATTTTCTTCTCGATTTTTTATTTTACCTAGATACATGGTTGCTTTTTTGATGCATGGTTCTCTGTTCGTTTGTTCAAGACGATTTGTTAATTATTGCATAAAAGTGTCGGATGAGATTGTTATTAAGGGAAGATTGTTTTTTCCATTGGTCATTTTAGCGTTTTTTCAAATTTCTCTCTTCCATATTTAATGCTCGGAGCTGTTGGTGTGTTCAATTTTTATACGTTGTTGCTTCAATTGTTAATGATTTTGTTTTTAGACTATCTTTTAGCGGTCATTGTTATATGTTATCTTCGATAATCATCATTGTATTTGTTTAATCAGTATTTGACAAAAATGTTTATTGATACGACTTCAATAAATGAATATCATAGTTATTTCAAAAAATAATAATAATAAATTGATTATGAGAACAGAACTTATACTATACATAAATTAGTTTCTTTTACTAATATATATAAATTACAACCATTAATAACTTTTTTAACGATTTATTATCATTTCAATTAAAAAGCGTCAATAAGTTGCGCCCATTTTTTTTTTTGGTTGAAAGGGCGCCGATCTCATTTTAAACTTGGACATAAAATATCTAAAATCGGACTGTGGATTAAAATGTATAATATTTAAACCTTTATCATGCAATATTGAGAAAAATGTGCTGCAAAACTTTTGATTGAAATAGACAAGTTAAATTTCATTAAAAATATATAAAACTACAAGAATTTAATTCAATGGAGTTAATAGGAACTTGAACCCCAAAGAAAAATACAAATACAACTCAAATGATCATAATTATCCAACTCAGCCAACATCCAACTATCAAACACTTTTCATTGTCCATACAGTTAACCATGCCTGTATTCGGAGTTCATCCAAAGTTGGAACTTCCGACTAGATCCAAACACAAGTCAACGATAACTCATCACAAGGATTGGATTGCTATAATTAAGTGAAAGGGTAGAAATTTGAGAAGAGTAAGCTACCGAGAAGGATATAGGCAACACAGTATGTCCAAATCATATATCCCCATTTCTTACTCGTATTGGGCGAAGTCATTACTAATGAAGCAAACCAATATAGTGAAGGGCTGGCCGACAAGAACCGTGTTGCAACCTGTCAATTGCTAAATGTTAAATACAAAGCTACGTTACAATATACTTACTAAATACCAATCGCTAAAAATATGATGCAAGAAGCAAGGGAAACCATTTAATAATGACCGAACATTGTGTGAACTATTAACTGTCTCAATGGAGCAACCTTATACGGTACAACCAAAACATAGACATGGTAAACTCATGACCTGTTTGAACACATTATGGTTCATAAATGGATATGACAGACAATAAGTGATTTGTTCCAAGTTGATTCACTATGAAAATTCAGACATAAGCCCCACCAGGCCAGTAGACATAATATGGGAAGTGTCAACAACAATCTTAGTCCCTAAAGAAATCAAAAGGCAGAACAATAATTCATTAAGTTTTCTAAACCATATTGATATAGTGTGGTCTTGACAAATTTCAAGGATGTACAGAGAAAGAGATGAAACTAACCTGGACATGCATCACAAAAAATGATGTAGCTACCATGAAGCCCACATGTAGGATAAAGGGAAGAATAAAAGCAGATGTATATCCTAGCTTCTCTGATGATCCATGAACTATTCTGCCCTTTGTATGATCCCCTCGGCTAACTTTCTTCCTCAATTTAAGATTATGATTTTCTGTCACAATGATAATAATTACTTTAACAAACAGAAAGAAACAGGGGCACGATATAGTAATAAAACCAACAACCAACAACCCAACAGAAAAATAAGTGTCAGCATTCACAATTCACAAGTCATTTTGTTTTGGGAAGTAATACCATGATTCCTACAAGAAAGTTTCTCTGAAAATTGGGTGTCGTTTGATCCGAGTGATTTCTGAAAAGAATAAATTATGGCCATGGCACTTCTCTCCTCAACTGAAGCTTGAAAACCCAATGATCGAACTATTTCAGGTCTTGTGTTCACATAATAGATGATTGAGCAAACAGCCAAAGACAGTATCGGAGATGCCAGAAGAAAGTTTGGCAGTTGTTTAAATTGGAAGTATCTCAAGAATCCCACTCCCCTAGGATAAAAGAAAGTATAAAAGCATGCATCAGAGTAACAAATCCCAGCAAAATCTAATCTGTCACAATTTTGAAAGCCAAAATGTAGATTCCAAAGATACATTAACGATTTTCCATTAATAGGATTACTTAAACTAGCATCTAGAAAACTTGAGAAATTATTAACATCTCCTGCATGAAGAAAATGAAATGAATGCTATACCATGACCAGCTGCAAAAGAGCATACCAATAATGACTTTGAATGTAATTGTATAGGAAAGGCATTCTTGCTTTACACCAAGGCCTCGTTTCATCAGAAGAACGCCATAGACACATATTGTAGTAGCCATATGCTTGAAAAGCAATAAAGGGAACAAAAATGAAGACACAACGCAGTGCTCCCCTTATAAGGATCCACAATGCCAACTAGCACGGAAATAGAAAGCTGTTTATGAAACCGTCCATTTGCATAGAAAGTTCATTCTCTATACACTTCAAGTGAAAAATTTAAACTCTACAACATAAATTAAAAAATGATATGTATATTCTTTAGTTTTTTTTAATACACCTTAAAAAGGGTATATGACAACTCTCAACTGCCCTGGTGGAATCTAAAAACTCCAACTGCAGTGCATAATACAATTTTCCTTCCCAAAAATCAATGATAAATTTGATGCAAAATCACACAACATATATAGAAAGATAATAATGGTATTCATTTTCTCAATATTAACAAATGATGAATTATCTAATATAACAACTTTGACATAAGCAAAATTATCCCACCCATTGAAGACAATTAGGGAAGCATGTTAGATATGCACAAAGGATACCTGCAAATGCCCTTGTGGGAAAAATATATGAAGACCAAAAAAAATTTATTCGAAACACAAAAATATCCTCAGTTTCACTGAACTCACTTACTAAACAATATAAAAAAAATGCACCGCAAATAAAGCATGAAGCCAATGATACTTATTGAAAAAAAGGTTGATCTTGTTTTACCATTTCATTTCTTTAAAGACTGAATGGTGAAAAAATAAAATTGGCAACTAGGCATTGATAAAATTGAAGAACTAAACCCCTAATACCAAATTAAATGTCCGTGTTTCCTTTTGAGGATGTCCCAAAAATGTTTACTTTCTTTAAACATAAAAAAGCTGTTACTTCTCTATATCCTATTTTCCAGACTGATTTGTTCTTTTCTCAAGTAAAACCTTAACACTAAAGCAAAATTCATTTCTTAATCTGCATAAAAGTCAACATGAACGTTGAATTTAAGATTAAGAAAATTCATTAATTACCAAGAAATCAGCCAGCAGTGTTAGAAGTTACAATTTAAAATGAAGAAGAAGGCAAATGCATGAAAGGAAGAGATAAGCATAAAAAATAAACAGATACACGTTGAATATTAAATTTGGGTTCATTCTAATAGCTTAAGCCTTGGAGATGATAGATTACTTAACTATCACACTAACATGGTATTAGACAAAGGTTTTGAGTTTGATTCCTTTTAACTGTCAACCCCATTTTCATTAATTTCTTCACCTAGAAAGGTGCTTTGTGTGCAATGTTTCTGCAGCATGCACTTTTCTTCCAAACTTGGGCTCACATGCAAATCCCATTAAACAAACATCAATGGAAGATAATCATCAATAAGCACTCAACTATAGCCCTTTCCTATTCGCCTTAATGAAGAAGCCTTGTGGGAAAATAAAAACAGCCTGCAAATGGGGCATTGTATCTAAGAAAACACTAGACTTACAAAAGCACGCTTTTTCAGGGAAAAAGCATCATAAGCCTGATGCATTGTCTGAAATCCAAAATAACCAGCATTGAGCACTCCGTTAGATCTTGCAAGACTGGAAAGAGCAAGCCAAAGCACAGCTATGTTATTTGAACCAGATAATAAATAGTAGCATCCGCCAAATGACAACAAGGCATACAAGCTCTCAGAATATCTGCAATCACAAGAAGACACAAAAATCTAATCCACAATAACCTTCACCTTTAGAAAAATCAACAACAGAAGAAATAAATGAAGAACATTACATTGATGAGTAGAATACGGATGCTGGATTGAAGCAAAACAATACGGAAGCCTGTAGTGCTGCATTGGGGTCCTTCAAAATAATAACTGAAAGCCTATTAGAGCACGAAGCACGAGAAGAACAATCATAAGTTCCAATATATATATATATATATAATGTGTAGAATGCAAAGCAACAATGTGACAGGAAACGGAACATTTCGGATGTCAAGTAGCTGGAAATGAAAGCTTACTTATAAAAGTAAATCGCCGCGAAAATAAACGCAACATTGCAAACAACATAACCGGACAGCGCCAATACTGCCCTATAGCCAATCAGCGGAACCAACGGCGCAAAAACTGCAATTTTGCATGAGAAGAAAAACTCAAAAAAGGGCAGACAAATGGAACCCTAATCCTAGAGTCGAATCGAACCTGTGCGCGAAAAGGCGAAAATGCAGACCGGCAATAAGGGTAGAAACGCGTAGAACTGCTCGTATTCATATCCGCACTGAGCGATCCGGACGAAGTAAACGCTGTCCCAAACGACGCCGTTCTCGATGGCGGAAGCGAGGGAGAGGAGGAGAGGCGGAGGGAAGGAAGAAGGATTGTGTAGGCAGGTTGGGTTGAGGGGCGCGGAGGTGTCGTAAGGGGTGAGCAGGGAACGCCATAGGATAGTAAGGACCAAAAGAAGAAGCCTTGAGAAAATTGCAGCTTTCAGCACTTTGGATGTATTGAGAGGTTCCGATGGGGATCTTGAAATTTCTGTTGCCATTTTGGCTTTCGAGGGAAAAAAATGTAAAGTGCCGTAAACGGGGTCGAATAAAAGGGAAAGTTGGGCGGGCAAATTATTTAGCCCAATACTACCCCTAATATATTATTTTGAGAATTACAATATTTATTAAAATGATTTGTAATTCGTTGTATTTAAAGGACGAATTTTAATAAAATATTTTTTATTATAAATTATTATTCCAACATAATATTCAATTTAATCACTCAATTTTAAACATTAAATTTTTTCATCTATTTAGTTTACTACTTGCTCTCTAATTTTATGGTGAAATGGTATTTTAATTACTGATTAAACTATCATATAGGCAATAATTAATATTTTATTAATATTATTTTTATATTTTTGCACTCTTCAGCGCCCACTGACGCTGCCTGTCTTCCTTGTTCCATTTCCTCTTAAGCACATTATTTAAGGAGTATTTATGATGCCTAAAATTCACTCCATGTCCATTGTGCACTCAATCCAACACCCAAATTAACATCTAGCCCATCACCTTCTAATTTACAATATCAATTTATACAATTAAATACTTAAAAATTAATAAAAAGGAAAAGAAACTCGTTAGAAAAAAGAAAAGGTCGATAATGTTCAGAGTAGTTTTATGTAAATTCAATGCAAATGATTCGCCGCGATGAAGAAACAATTGAAATTAGAGAAATATCCTTCTTCTTCTTTTCCTGTTTTCATTTTTATTTGGTCAAGGTTTTCATTTCTGTTATTGTGACTTTTGATTTAGTTTTATGAAGATCTAAACTAAGAACTGAACAGAGAGAAAAAAAACTTTATTCAGTATCTATGTCAATATGAATGATGATCGGAGGAGTATGGTGATATACAGCGATAGTGGTATCAACGTTAGATTTAAAGAGTTTTGAGTACTTCTCAATTAAACGAATATTAAATTCATGTTTAAAATAATGAAATGTGTTTGATGAGAAAATTTAAGAGTCATTGACCTCTGGAAACGGTGACCAGCGGTAGTCAAAACGACAATAAAAAAAATGACCGAAGTATGTGTTTGTTCATGTTGAGGAGAGACATAGAGAGAAATTAGGAGGAAGAAGAAGAAATAAGGAAAGAGTGGAAAAGGAAATGAAAGAAAATAAAATATATTTTTTTATAGAAAAATGACTTCGTTTTGGTTTAAATTTAATTTTATGTAGGATTTAAAATTACATCGTTTTGGTTTTGATTGTCATATCATAACGTTGTTAATATTTAACGACAAAGTGACAAAATTTATGATTTACTGAATTTGGAGCTTAGGCTCTGTTGGTGATGTCATTCTTAAGAGGTCACAAGTAGCAAATGCAACTATTAAAACAAGACTTTATTTATTTCTTGAATTTTAGTATTTTCATTAAGTTTTTGAAAGTAGATTGTGATCTTTGTTGCTGCAACTCTTCATTTTGCTTGAATTATCCGTTCTCGTTATGATCCTCCAAAGACCCTCCAAATATATGTCAAGCTTAGAAAAATTGAACATACCCATTTGAGTCACACATCCGAGTCCAAGTATCATAACAGTGACAATTTTACTAAATTCTTTGATTTCGTTCACATGATACTATTGCAATGATATTTCCTTGGAGCAACTTATCTGCATTTTCAAGTTCCTATAGGGTGATTTTTAAGCATATCTTTATGTTGAAATAGAGTTACAGTTCTAACTTGTTTCTATTTCACTTCCAATGTTTGTACCATAGGTGCATTCTCATATTGAATTTTAAACATTTGCTATCTTATTGAGGTAGCGTTTCCTTTGAGTAACTAAATTGCATTTTCAAGTTATTATAGGCGATTTTTAAGCATATCTTTATGTTAAAATAGAGTTATGGTTCTAACTTGTTTCTATTTTACTTCCAACATTTGTACTATAGGTGCATTCACACGTTGACATTTACAATTTTACGGATAATACATGGGGAGGAAGATTTGATATGCCAAAAGAAATGGCTCGCTCACATTTAGGTATGGTAACTGATGGGAGACACATTTACATAGTCACTGGACAATATGGTCCTCAATGCAGAGGGCCTACAGCTCACACATTTATTCTTGATACTGAAACAAAGAAATGGAGTGACATGCCCCCTTTGCCCGTCCCTAGGTATGTGAATATCTTGAATCTTACTGATGTATGGTAGTGCTCTTGGAGAGAAAAAGTTCTTGGCCCCTATAAACTGTGATTGTGTACATTCTGTGTTTAATTTAGGTCTTCTTTCCAATGTTTTGAGTTCCATTTTTCTTTGCTTTCGGTTCTGTCATGTTTGAACTTGTCTATTTGAATTTTGAGTACGAAATGAAAAAGAGATAATGTGCTGCCATTTCCTTTTGTTTCTTCAAGATGAATTCCTTAGAACAATAACTAGCATATTTTAATTTACTAATTCCACCTCAGGGTTCGTGTTTCTGGTTCATTATTATTCAGCCATAGGTTCTAGCTATAGCTTTGATCCAAGTTAGGTCCGCTTCTTTATGTACATAGATGAGTCTTAGACAGGCTGACCTAATTTCTGGAACGGGAACAATGAAAATGGCTCCCTTTGTAGTCTGTAGGGAGATTTTATGAACAAATGCCCAAATCCATATTGAGCGTTTTTTTCCTTTAAATTTTCTCATCTTGATCATGTTGTCTTGTTAACCCTATTTTCTTTTTGCATTTTCTTCTTCTTGTTGATTCAAACATTACACATCTACTAAATCTAATTATTTTAGAAATCCATTTTTTTATAAGAAATGAAGGCCTCATTAAAAAACCCTCTTAATAACCAGCAAGCTACAAAATAGCTCACCGGATATTGGAAGTAGGAAAAGAGTGCCTCAATTTTATTGCAACATTTACAGTACATCAATCATATAATCCAGACTGTTACAACCAGAGAGAACATCCAAAACATTTACAGTAAATAAATCATTTTTCAAAGCAAAGGTTGAAATCCCATTAATTTGGATGATATCACGTCTGAATATCTTTCTTCTTTTTTCACCCCATCTTTGTCTCATCCTCTCCATTTTTTAATCTTCTCCAAGCACAAGCAAAGTTTAGGGCTTTAAGAATTTCAAGCATCCTCTGAAACTCTCAAGGTAAGAACTATAATCTACTCCCTCCAAGCTTCAATTCAAGCCCTCCTTTGCAAGTTTTGGTTGTGTTAGCAAAGTGGGGTTTAGTGGGGTTTACGAAACCTTAGGACTTCAGTCCATTTTTTGGAGAGATTTGAGTTGTATAGATTGTTTCTAGCATTTCCCAAAGTTCCAAAATGAGTTAACAACTCATTTTTCTTGTCTTGATTAGGGAAAAAGAAAGGAGAAAGCTCTAAGGCAAGAGGCATGGAGAAGCTAGTCCTTGGGTGATTTAGGGAGGTTTCTAGCAACCTAGCACTAAGGTAACATATTTCTAACTTGTCCATACCACATGTAGATCATTAGATATGCATAAATGGTTAGTAAGTTCATGAAGCATGCCTGAGTAGTTCATGATAAATTCCATGTTTGATGATTTTCAACATGAAATGTGACTCATTTTAACCCCTAAAACCATAAATAAGACTTTAATAATGTTTATTAGCCTTAGTAGGATGAATAGGTAAAGTGAGGCCACATTTTCGTACCTAAAATAGGTCATTTCTAAGTATGAGTATCAGTACTGGAAGAACAATATCGATACTATTCATCGATCAGTGTAAATTGAGGATATTTTGGGAAGAGAGTATCGATACTCGATCAAGGAGTATTGATATTGTGGGTCTGGTTTCGATACTTATAGTGTGGTATCGATACCGAATATGATTAAAGGATTCCAATAGCTATTTTTTTGTATTGATACCCATAGGAGTATTGATACCAAGGGTAGAGTATTGATACTTCCTATAGGGCTATCAATACGGAAGTATTTTTCAAAACATCGAAGTTATTTTCAATATCGATAGTCACTGTGAGTATTGATACCCAATGGTCAGTATCAATACTGTTGGCACAATACCGATATGATCTTCATGAATTGGGTAATTAATCCAATTGATTCAAGTGTTCGGATTTGGGGGTGTTGAGGCCATAGAAGTCTTAAGTACACAGTTATAAGTGAAAACAGTCAAGACACCCGGGAAATAGTCAGACCATAGAAGTATTAAGTACACGGTTACAAGTCTTAAGTACACGATATAAGTACAACTAGAAACCAAGCAAGTTAAGATGATATAAGACTAGCATTGTGTGACGCTCAAGAAACAGTCAGGACACCCGAGTTACTTTAGTAGTATGACGATCGTCCTCCTTGATGTTATATATCCAGATATTGTTGGTCGAGTACGAATCCAATGCATGAAAAATTCTAGAGCGTGCCCAATACTCGATAACCTATATGTGGGCTAGGGATGTAGCTTCCGATACACGTAAAAATTCCAGTTCTTACCCCGAGACCCTCGAGTAACCTAACTAGGCTAGTTTAATGTTCGAGATGCAAGAAAATTCCTTCGACCACACCATTAGACCTATCTCATGTTTATTGTTATACTTTTGCATTGAGTTAATCGATTGATGGAAATGGCCAAGAGGGGGGTGAATTGGCAATTAAAATTTTGGTGGAAGCTTTTGCAGAAAATTGAAAATATTTGCACAATGATTTAGAGTGGTTTGACTGTCTCAACCAAAGTCTACGTCCACTACCTTAGCTATCCACACTAAGGATTTTCCAACAAATTCACTAATTTGTTATTTCTTTTGAGGACAAAGAGTAACCTTACAACTCCCTCAAGAATTATACCCCAAATTCTTGAGCATACTATTTTTCAAAGAGAAATACACAAATTTGCAAACTTACAAGGAAAACCTCACAAGGTAAGATGTTTGGACAATTCTAGAACAAGAAAAGAACACTAAAAAATAATTACAAATGAGGACAAATGGTGTTCTTGAAAGCAAAATGAATATTGAAAGAAAAATTGGCTTGATTTGCATAAACTTGGTGTTTGATGCTTTCTTTCTTGTTTCTCTATGATTTCTTGTTG